GCTTGTACAAATGCCCACAAAGTATATGAACGGTAGCAAATTTCCAAGGTGAAAATAATCGATCTTCACCGCATGACAGTTATCGATCGTCACAGTCTGTTGTCACGCGTGCGAACCTGAACCGGAAGTACACATGGACAGAAGTTTTCAAACATAGGGTAGTATACCAGTACATCTAATACAAGTAGTGCATCTAATTTCTGCCATTTGCACCAGCTGTACAAAAACATTTGGGTTATATTTTATTTTCTTATGTTTGCCTACGGATGGTGACAGTCTTTTTGGTGCTTGAACATGCCCTTGTTCAGTGCAACTCGATTGACGGGGCTTTGCGTCATATACACCGCAGGTGCTTAAATACCATGGAGCCGTGGCCTGATAAAACAGTCCCCCCGTCGACTAGAAGCGACGGGGCTGTTCATACCGGTGTTAAAGACTTCCATTTGTCGTACATTACAGCTGTATCGGTGTAGAGTAACAAAAAAATTTTCGTTACACAGTACGTTTTCGCCATGTAAATCCGGTATTATGTTTTCAGTATTTCAAATGTTACATTTTCCGGCGGCATCGGAAGGCAGCCATTCGTGCTAGCTACCCCGGAGCATTGGGGTTATATTTTATTTTGCTTGATGCATCTCCTCCTAACTCTGTGTTGTGGGTTTGCTCACTCGTTAGAATATCGAACTTGGTACCGAGGAGTCCCGATTCGAGTTGTGGTCGGGTCAGCCGCTTGTTTTTCTTCTGAGATAAGTAAACGGGTACCAATCTCTGGGAAGAAAGCAAGAGACTGTACGGTATACTTGCCACACAGCTGTAGATTCTGCCGTACAAAATGAGATTCTCCTGGTTGATTGTATGCTAACGGCGATACCATAAGGCGATCCTATACGGTACCGTAGGCGTCATGGAATTAAAGGCGCCAGAAATGGCTCCCAATCTGGAAATTGTAGTTGACATCAGCATCCCAACGGTGGCAAGGTTTTCTTTTCTTCCTATTTTTACGAGTACTCGAAAACTTAGCGAACCTCTGCAAGTTAGCTTCGGCATTGACAGTTAGCAGTCATCTCAGCCAGCATGCATTGCTTTAGTGCATTTCTCAACATGACTCCCAAGCGTACTCCAAGTTTTTCTTTTTTTATTCTTTACGTAATTAATTTGTGTGCTATATTGTGGGACTCAGATTTCTTGGGAACAGGCGATATTTGGTACAGTCGTAAATTATATTGATTTCAGGAATTCCATATTTCGCTAATTCTGAACACAAATTGAAACGACTTGTGCATAACGGTTATTCTACATGTTTTGAGCTAGGTTTCGTAGCATTTTCTCGGTTTGACTATTCTTAACGCAAACCATCAATCTGTTGATGACTGGCAAGTGCCGAAGTGTCAGAAGGTTTGTTACAGACGTTCTTCACGGTGAAGTTTAATACGGCTTTCGATCG